CTCCAAACGTGGGAGATAAACTGAGGTCCCCTGTCGGAGACTACATCCTTGGGGACTCCAAAGTTTCTGAAGACGTGTGTGAACAAACTTTCTGCAGTGTCGAGAGCGGTTGGAAGTCCTTTGAGGGGGATTAGCTTACAGGCTTTGGAAAAACGATCTACGACCACCAAGATGCAGGTATAACTGTCTGAGTTGGGTAAGTCAGTCACAAAATCAATTCCCAGGTGAGACCAGGGTCGATGGGGGATCGGCAGGGGCACTAGCTTGCCTACGGGGAGGTGACGAGGGGTCTTGGACATGGCACAGACTGAGCAACTGCGGACATACCTGATGATATCACGGGTCATACTGGGCCACCAGTACCGAGCTTGGAGGAGCGAGAGGGTCCGTTGCCTGCCTGGGTGTCCAGAGCCTGGTACATTGTGAACTGAGCCCAGAAGGGATTGTCGTTGGGAAGTGGGCACATACGTTTTCCCTTCTGGGCCTACCGGTGGAGCAGGTTCGGTAAGAGTGGCAGCTCGAATGTCATCGTCGATGTTCCATTAAATGGGGCTTACAATCAGGGCTGGAGAGAGAATGGGCTCAGGATCGGAAGGTGTGTCTGGAGAGTGCATGCATGAGAGGGCGTCGGCTTTATTGTTACAATCCCGGGACGATAGGTGATTGTGAACTGAAACCTGGTGAAGAACAATGTCCAGCGGGCTTGGCGAGGGTTAAGTTTCGTCGCTTCTTTGAGGTATCGAAGATTCTTGTGGTTGGTAATTGCAGTAAATAGATTATTTTCTCCCTCCAGCCAGTGCCGCCACTCTTCCAGGGCGAGTTTGATAGCCAACAACTCCCGGTTTCCGATGTTGTAATTCTGCTCCGCTGGGGTCAGTTTCTTAGAATAGTATGCGCAAGGCTGGCGGTGAGGAGGCTCACCGTAATGTTGGGACAGCACAGCCCCAACGCCGGTGGAGGAACTCCCGGAACACCTCGTTAAATTAATCCCTGGAAGACTGACGGGGCATTAGCTAGCCCATATGGCATTACAAGGTACTCATAGTGGCCAGATGGTGTGATGAATGCCGTCTTCCACTCGTCGCCCTCCCGGATTCGAACGAGGTTGTACACGCTTCGCAGGTCCAGCTTGGAGAATATGAGGCCCCACGGAGTTCCTCGAGGCCGGACGGGACCAGGGGAATTGGATAAGGCAGTTTCACTGTATGGGAGTTCAGAGTTCGATAATCGATACAAGGCCGCAAGCCCCCGTCCTTCTTGCCCACAAAGAAGAAACTAGAAGCAGCTGGAGAATTTGAAGGTCGGATGAATCCTTGGTTAAGAGCCTCTTTGATGTATTCCTCCATCGCCTTGCGCTCCGGGATGGACAATGGGTATACTCTACCCTTGGCGAGTTTTACTCCAGCAAGTCGATGGCGCAGTCCCATGGCCAATGAGGTGGTAACTTGGTGGCTGCCTGCTTACTGAAAACATCCTGGAAAGCCAATTAATCAGATGGGACCGTGACCTTTTCCCAAGGTTCGGTGCTTTCGACGAGGGTGGATGCAACTTGAACTGAGTGTGATCCTGGGAGTGGAGTAGGTAATGACGTGAGGCAGTTGCGGTGACAGTGCTCGCTCCAGCGAGTCACCTCACACGTGTCCCATCTGATCTCTGGAGAATGGAGAACTAGCCAGGGGCGTCCCAGGATGATACCCACGGTGAGTCCCTCCAGTACCAAAAAAGAGATTTCCTCCTCATGTAGAGTGCCAATCTTGAGCTTCAGTGTTGGTGCTCGATATTTCACCCACCCACGTCCTAGCGGTTTTCCCTGGATGGTCTCGACTCGGAACTCCTGGGCATGACGTTTCCGGGGCAGATGGAGACGATTCAATAGGTCCTTGGATATGAAATTGCCTGAGGAGCCCGAGTCGACGAGGTCAGGGACTGAAACAGAAAGGTCTGTGGTAAGTAGTTGTACCAATAGCATTGATAGCATGGAAATGACAGGGTCTAGTCGGAGGGTACTCACCGCAGGACGTGGGGGTCTGACTGGGCAGGTCCTGATGTAATGATCCGCCGCAGCGCAGTAAAGCCACAGACCTGCCGCGGGGCAGTGAGCACGTTCAGAAGGGGTGAGCCGGGAGGTGTCTACTTGCATCGGCTCTGGTACTGGGGAACCCATGCCGGGCGTGACAGACTGGTGGGTGGCTTCGGTGGCGTGGCATGCGGCCAGATGCTGGGAAATTCGGTTGACTTTTTGCATGAAACTTTCCAGTCCAACGGAATCATCATAAATAGCCATTTGAGCTTGTACACGGGGATTCAATCCTTGCTGGTATGCGCTAAGTAGAGCTGCCTCATTCCACCCACTAGTCGTCGTCAGCATTCTGAATAGCAGTGTGTAGTCGCTAATGGAAGAAGTGCCTTGGTGCAGCCGCAGTAACTGGTCGGACACAGATAGCACTCCTGTAGTAAGACTTCTTTGAAATGGTTAGTGAAAGCATCATATGAATTAATTATGGCACTATTAGCGTTCCATATGGCCTTATGGAACAACACCGTGCTAATCGGTGTTGCACAGCTTCTGTCGGTGCAGTATGAAATAGTCTTTAAGCTGCTTCATGTGGAACAATGTTAACACTTTAGATTAGGGAACACTATTCACTATTAACTAGTTGTTTGACATGCATATTACTAGCATATTGGCTGTTTATTAGTACTTATAAAGCACATTAATGCATGACCACATCATCTGTAGATCTGTTAACGCTACCCAATACCTGTACATAAGTAGAACAACAACTACTAGAAACGACTTTCTTACTATTAATAAGCATCAAATGAGGTGTTTATTGAAGGAAAACTCTTAGGCTTGATGATACACGGGGCAACTTTTTGAGCAATGTTGCCATCAACGGGCAACCAGGGGCCCATTCTTCGTATGTCGCTAACTCAGTTAGCTAGATTTGATTGTTGACGATTTGGCCTGATCTTGGATTGTTTGGTTCTTCGAAACTCATCCTGAACTTGCTGTCATAGCAACAGGTTCGTATGCTTAAACCTGCTCGGGAACAGGTTTATTTCATGTAAACAGGATTAGATTGCATGTTTTTAAGCAGAATTAATACTTAAAATCTGTCCCAGCCATGTACAAATTGTACTTCATTACAAGAGTACCCTGCTGTAATTTACCCTAATGTAATTACCACGATCAAGGTCCTGAAATGTAACAGGAGATCAGTAAAATAATCCATGTGACATCAGGGGTTCAACCGCAATTTTACGAAGCTCTATTTATGAGATTACTTTTTGTACACAAATACATTATTTGTGTACAAAAAGTATTCTCATAGCTTCGTAAAATTACGGTCGAACCCCTGATGTCACATGGATTATTTTACAAATCTCCTTGCTACGTTTCTGGACCTTGATTGTGGTAATTACATTGCTGTCTATGGGAGGGTCAGAGAGCTCTCAGAATGCATCAAAAATATCTTAATTTGTGTTCCGAAGATGAACGGAGGTCCTACGTGTTTAGAACGACATGAGGGTGAGTAATCAATGACATAATTTTCATTTTGGGGTGAACTTTCCCTTTAATTAATGTGGTCATGTTACATATCTGCTTCAAAGATAAAATTGCATGATGAGTTGTTAATTACAACATTAAAATAACAATGTAAAGCATGTACAAATACTAGAAATTTTGAATATAAATAAGTGGGAATCATGTAAAAAAATATCCCTAAATTGAAAACAGTGCACATTTAATTTATCTATTATAACATTTATGTATTTCTGTTCACTTGGCTGTTTCCTTATAAAAGCCTAGAAATTGGTCAAGTTTTTCATCAGGTGTCTTTTTTAATTATATGATGTCATTAAGTTGCTGTCTTGCCACCAGCCAATCGCTGCACTTTCAAGTATCGATGCATCTGCCCTATTCGGGAAACACAAGAAGGTGCAGTAATCTCAGACAACTTAATCCAGATATTTTAATCAAATCCGCAAATTTATTTGAAGAACAAAATTACCCGGAGATCAGTTATCATGATTAGAAGATCTGGAATCTTTCATATCATCTCAGATGTATTAAGCGACATATGAAAACGGGCCCCTGGTGAGACACAGGGCCCATGACCGATACAGGAATAACTGTATGAAATTGATACAGGAATAATTGTGTTTTTACTTCCCAGCCAGTGAGATTGCATGTGAGTAAAACTATTCAAAGTAATGATGCTTATCCAGGTAAGCTGGCTAATCTTTAATAGAAAAAAGCAAAGTGGCATCATGATTAAAGTAAACAAACACTGCAAGAGAATGAAGTTTGTGGGGGAAGTCGTAGCCTAATGGTTAGAGAGTCGGACTCGTAACCCAAGGTTGCGGGGTTTGAGTCTCGTACCGGCAGGGATTGTAGGTGGGGGGAGTGAATCCCTGGTGAGACACAGGGCCCATGACCGATACAGGAATAACTGTATGAAATTGATACAGGAATAATTGTGTTTTTCCTTCTCAGCCAGTGAGATTGCATGTGAGTAAACCTATTCAAAGTAATGATGCTTATCCAGGTAAGCTGGCTAATCTTTAATAGAAAAAAGCAAAATGGCATCATGATTAAAGTAAACAAACACTGCAAGAGAATGAAGTTTGTGGGGGAAGTCGTAGCCTAATGGTTAGAGAGTCGGACTCGTAACCCGAGGTTGCGGGGTTTGAGTCTCGTACCGGCAGGGATTGTAGGTGGGGGGAGTGAATGTACAGCGCTCTCTTCCACCTTCAATACCATGACTGAGGTGCCCTTGAGCAAGGCACTGAACCCCCAACAGCTCCCCGGGCGCCGCAGCAAAAAAGGGCTGCCCACCCAGTGTGTGTTCACTGCTGTGTGTGTGCACTTTGGATGGGATAAATGCAGAGCACTAATTCCGATGTCACTCACTTGAGAAAGACATTCCCAGAGCAAGGTATCTTAAATATATCATTACTTTGAATACACAAAAACTGCAGTGTAAGGAACTTACTTAAACAGTCCCCACCAGACCAGCCTGGGCGACACTCTGCACAGTACTTCCCTTTTACAAAGAAATCATCCCTTGGGCCCCATGTGCCATTGTTACAGCGCTTGCAGTTCTCGAATATGCTGCAGCCTGAAGAGGAAAAAGGAAAACGCCTAGAATTAGAAAGAGGCATTAAAGGGGTCATATGATGCTTTTTTAAAGATCATTATTTTGTGTATTTGGTGTAACAGAATATGTTGACATGTTTTAATGTTCAAAAAACATTATGAAAACAAAAAACATTATAAAAACAAAACTTTAATGTTTCAAATACTGTACAATATTGTAGGTCCTCTATGCCCCGCCTCTCTCAAACGCTTTGTTTTCTACAAAGTCCCTCCTTCCGACAAGCACAGTCAGCTCTGATTGGCCAGCTGACCCAGTGTATTGTGATTGGCCGAACACCGCAAGCACTCGTCGGAAATGTGACGCCCCTTACCATAATCGCGAGCTTCATCTTTCAAAATAAATGTAAAGACAGAGCCCGAAAGGGGAACAGAGTCGAGTGACAGACACAGTGATGAAGCTGGTATGTGTTCGTGATGTGACCCCCCCTCTCTCTCTCTCTCTCTCACTCTCTCACTCACTCACTCACTCACTCACTCACTCTCTCTCTCTCGTGCGCTCTCTATCTCTCTCTCTCTCACACTCGCTCACACACACACACACACACACGCGATGCGCAAAACTCTGTATTTAAACCGTCAATAGCAAGTACTTAAACTAATAACAAAACAGTAGCTGATTCAGAAGCGCCAGATTGTCATAGCAAAGTCAGAATGACCTCCTCTCCTAGGTTCACGAAACGGTCATCCATAAAACGCATTGCTGTTCTGTTGTAAGTGATCTTAAAGATTCCTAAATGCATCTACTTTCGGTCTATTCTGTGTGATTGGCTGTTTGCTGCACACATCACACTTTCTTGTGCACACGCTCCACAGAGTTAATCACAAACTTTGGATCAAACTCTGAGTTCACCGAGAATGTTCATATCGAGCTTTGTGAGTCCGCTGAACCTGATCTAAACCAGGTTGGATTTGTTTGATTTTGTCAACTCTTGTTGTTTGTTCAGCTAGCTTCATGCAACAGGCCCCTGGTGTAATGAAGCTGTTTTTCTTAACATTAGCGCTGTTTTGGCCTGATTATTTGAATGCACTCACTTACTGGATCATTGGACTGAAAACTTTCTCGGAGTTTAAAAGCTTAAAATGATCTTATTGCAAACAGAGAAGCGAAATCGACTTAAAGGGTTAGAATTGAAATTCTGCTTCAGTCATTTTGTGTTAATTGGGTTAATTTTTTTAACTCATTAAGGATTAAATTAATCACGTGCATTAACATATTAACGTTTACAGCCATACTTAAGAGTCTATGGACAGCAAGGGATTGGGGGCCATTTGGGAGATGGGCAGTAACATTAACAGAACATGTGCTTTGTCCTGCCTATGATGGGGCAGGTGTTTGACCCCCTTTAACCATTAAATCTGATTGGAGTGAATACATTGATTGTATTCTTTGTTTACAAGTTCCAGAGTTCCAAATGTCAAAATCAACAAATCATAACACATGTTGGACTAATGGAATATTTACAATATACAACATATACAGTATGACATTCATGTTTCTGCCAGATGTTTGATTGTTTTCAAGCTGTTGAATTACTGAATATATAGGATCAAATGAAGCTATTACTAAACCATGGACAAACAATAAAACGTTTATCACAAGAAGAGAAAAATGAGAAATAGTTGTAAATGTGTTTGTGTGTTATCTGCTCACCAGGATGGATGATGCAGGGATCGCATTCATTTACAGCATTACGACAGCATGGCACTGCATAACCCACCGAAGACCCTTGAAGAGGACATTTACAGTGGATGACATCATATTCACAGCATCCCCTACACATCACACTCCACTCGGGTCCTGGACAGTAGTTGTACAGGAACCTGTAATCTAAGAAGTAACACACAATATCATAGACATTACAAACGGACTCACTCTAAATTAATTAATGTTTAGCTTGCTTTTATGCAAACATGCCTAAATAATTTAGTTGAATCAAGTAATTTGGACATATCTTAGTTTAGTTGCACTGACTAACTCATATGAGTTTAATTTAGTTCAGATTTTTTTCTCCCATCACTACATAATTAAGTAGAAAATCAAATGACCAGAAATTATCATATTGTTACTTTAGTGTTAAATCAAACTTGTCATTCAAATAAAGAAATATTCCAAGCCCAGAGTTGATTATTCAAAAATAACTTGTTTGATCGGATCATCTTAAATGAGTCATCCTCCGAGTCTGAATGCAATTATTGGATAACATTATATTGTAGACAGATTGTAGATTAATCCTAATAAACATGCCACTACAAACAAACAATAAAAACAACAACATTAAAATACCTTTAAATCAGTGCATTTTTACTATACCTCCTGCACCATGTCATGGGTGTTTGTAAAAACACACATGAAGATGAAGGCAAAGGCAAATAGGTAATAGCTAATACATCCAACATGAACAGAGCAATCTACAACACATCCAAGATAGATGACATGGGACAACTAGACTGAAACTGAACCTAAATTAAATACACATGATAATGAGACACACACACACCTGAACATAATGACTAAATCAAAGGAATAACCATGACAACCAACTAACTAAGGAAAGACGGCGCAAACTGAAAACAAACTTCTTTACTTTCCGATGAAGGTGACTGTAGCGTCTGGACCAATCAGACACACCATTTTTCATTTGATTTAACAAATCAATTATTCATTAGATTAACAAATCGTCACAGTCCCCTCACCCAATAAACTGGAAGCCAGGATGTCTGCCACCAGGCCCCCCTGGTTACCATGGCAACCCTGACACCAGATACATTTACGGCCTCCTGGAATTTAGGAGAAGAAAATCGCTTCCTTGCCCATAAGGAAAATCCACAAGGGAAGGACTTTTCTTTGCTAATTAATTAATAGGAAAACCTTTCTTTGAATGAACACACAGGATCTTTCAGGTCATGGTGTATATTATTTGTAGAAAATTTGGATTTGGTTTAAGCAGGCTATGATTTATGTGGCAGGCAGTTCATTTATGTGTTGTTTAACTCTTCAGTCTTGCTGTATGTCTACAGGCTCTAAAGGAGTTCAACCGAATTGACCTGACGGCACCGATGATTGACACTTCACCAGAAGCGACCAGGCAGCTGCACCTGGAGGGGGCGCTCCGCATGAAAGAGGGCAAAGACAGCAGGGTTAGTTAGAAACATTAGCAATGTAGTTGCTTTAAAATCTTTAATGGTAGCCACTGTCCTTAAAGGGATAGTCCACCCAAAAATGAAATTCCAAACCTGTGAGACTGACTTTCTTCAGTGGTAGACAAAAGAATATATTTTTGAAGAATTTTGGTTGCTAAACCATCTCGGTTCCCATTGACTTCAATTGTAAGGAGAAAAAAAGCATTGTAAAGTCAATGGCAGTGGTTGTAGAGAACAAGAACTTCTTTCATCAAATTACCATGCTTTCAAACAAAGGGCCATAAAAACGCCCCAGTATCTCAGAACAGATCCCGGACTTCCTCATTGGACAAGCCCATCTCGAGAGGCGTGAATCTTTGCAGACTTTAAAGGCCGTACTTCATGTGACCCGCAGAGTCGGTGGTTCTGTTAGGTTTCGATAAGATGTGAGCTCCAACGCTCCAGAACATCCTAAGTTACGTGCCAGGCTTCGGCCTCGACCTTTCCATTAATCAAGATTCTCTGACTCAAAATTGGTTCTTTGACCCAAAATTCAGCAAAGATCAACTGGAAACTTCAGATTACATCAAACCTCTCTTTCAGACAGATGAGACATGCAAGAATCAAACTTAGCCTTATTAATTGATAAAGTGAGGTTCACTTACACCTTTTTACAAAGGTGTGTTTGAACTAAGACAGATGAGACATGCAAGTATCAAACTTAGCCTTATTAATTGATACAGTGAGGTTTCACTTGCACCTTTTTACAAAGGTGTGTTTGAATGAAGAATCTGATGTTTCCCTCGGGCAGATCTGCTGAATATGCAAATGGTTCTATAATAAAACCTTACTTGTATCACACTTGACGTGGTTCATTGTTTGCTCATAAACTGGAGTCACTTAATCATGCAGATTTATGCTACAAGCTTTTGTAGAATTGTACAGTAAGGAAGTTATTTCCCTTAACCAGGAAATTAACGTTCTTAGAATTGACAAGACAGTTGACCCTGAGAGGTCAGCTAAATATCTACAGCGGATCTAAAATATTCATAATTAATTATAACTAGTTATGATTGATTATTCATATTTCCCATGAGCTGATTCGTTACATGACTCAGATTTTTGTAGGCAATTGCTGTATATGTATGAAAATTGATGAAAAGTGCACTTATGCACATGAAATATGGAGTCATGTGACATGTGCACATGTGCATAAGCGGTGAATGAGGTTAGCCGCTTGGCTAGGGGCAGAGTTAAAAACAGAGCCGTCAAGTCGGACACTTTCTGCTCTCGCTGTGTTTGCATACGCTATCACAGATGAAGTGAATTAAATACAATATCTGTCAAATACACAGATATTTCAGAAACGTTTTCATGAGCAACATAAACACTTTTTATACTGCTTAATACAGAGCTATCTGTTCAAGAAAGTTTAACATAAACATATACTATTTAAATACCAATAAAGTGGGAGTATACCCTATATGCTTTTATCAGTGTTTTTTGATAAACGTGACTCAATATAACATTGTGACTACAGTAAAATATTTGACTGTTCTAAAAACACAGATTTGTGTCGTCATCAGAGCTCCTGCAGCTGCTTTGAAGAAACTGCACAAGCTGAGTCAGTCGGCTGCTCTCGGAGCGCTATCGCAGTACTTTGATGCCACACGTGACAGTCACGTGGCGTCGGCGCCGTCTCAAGTCGGACAAAATTTCTACCTGGCATGCACTACTTCAAGTCAGCCGCCAATCGGTCTGTGCAGCACTGCATGAAGTCGACCACACCTAAAATGTGGGTCATGTGATCACTTTTTTTGTATTTTCATTTATTAGTATTTGACTTCTCCTTCCCTGAGATAACATTTATTAATTAAATGGGTGTCTCATTTTATTTTAAAAAACAAAAACACGTTGTGTTGTCTGGAGGCAACATGGTACCATAGAGGGTTAAATTAATTTCAGTGGGTTATAGGTTTCAGGACTGCCTTACCATTCTGTTGTCCTGGATGTGAGGACAAGCTAGAACTCCATTTCTCACAGTCGAAAGATCTGTGGAGCAGTATCTAGCCATCAGAAACTTATTTACTTTTGCTTTATTAACCACAGCAAGGCCTTCGACTCTGTCAATCATGAAAAACTATGGACAACTCTATTGCAATTGGGAATACAGAAACATCATTCAGCTAATAAAATGACAGCCAAGAAACTATGGTTCGAACAGAATACGGAAACACAAATTGATTTTCAGTGCGAAAAGGTGTAAGACAGGGCTACATCTTGTCATCATACTTGTGCAATCTGCATACTGAAGCCATATTGCGAAATGCTACTACAGAGGAGGATAACACTGGAAACGTGTGGGTCAGGGATAGGCAACGTCAGTCCTGGAGTGCCGATGTCCTGCAGAGTTTAGCTCCAACCCTAAAACAAAAACTCACCCGCCTGTAGCCTAGCCTGGCCCTGTGTCTCAATGTTCATACTATCCATCCTAAATAGTAGTGATTAGAATAAGTGGCCACGATTTAGCCAAAACAATGAAACTATAAATACTAGACAAATTAATAAAATGTCTTTAAGTTTAAACTCACAAGTTCTGTCATTATTCAACAAAGACATTATATAACGAAATAGTATTTTGTAATATAAAAACTAATAAAGGGGTACTAAAACTTTCAGTTGAAAATTGAAAATATGGGCAATTCCAGTGTTACAGATATTAGCAGTCAAAACCTGGCATATAAATCCTCATAAAATGTAATTATTACCAATATATTAAACCATCTCTTTATATTTTTCTAAACCCCTGAAAATAGAGTCCAGACATCAGAAAATATCAGTCTATAAACCTGTTTTATATTTTAGATGAGGGAAATAGACATGCTTTACGGACGTGACAAGAGTTTTTGGGAGACAACATATTTTGTAGATGTTCTGTAATTTACAATGCACAAACCAGAAGCAACAACATTTTTGTGTTTCAGAGGAAAAATCTATGCGGTTCTGAAAGTGGAATTTATCAGATTATGCAAACCCGTATAAAATGCTTTAAAAACTTTAACATAGCCGTCTAGTGGGTATTTATTAGGGCTGCCCCCACTAAAGATGTATTAGTTAACTAGTAGTCGTTCGTTTAAGCCATTATTCAACTAATCGCACATTTATATTAAATCAACTACTACTCCATAATGAGCTTTAATTTATTCCGTGCTCAAGCACACGCATAAAGTTTGCCACAAAGCACAGGCAAACGCAGCCCAATTATTATGAGTGTATAGGAAAAAGAGACATTGTAATTATTTATTAATAAACTAATGTTTTCTTGTCGGCTGCGAGATTAAATTTACAGTGCTGACTCTCATCTCCACAGTAGCCCGGACAAAATACAACCTTGATACAGATTACATTATCAGGGAGTATTTGATTTTGTTTTGAACTGGTTTATTAAAATGTATACATGTCAAGCTTTGTATGCATATATTTTTCTTGTACTGTATGTGAGACAGCCACACGCTGAGTTTTGGTTCTTTTTTTGAGTCCTGGGCTCCAGTTCACGGAGACAGCAGAAAGCCCATCCTGTTTGTTTTAATTATTTTACAAAAAGCCCAACGTATTGTTGTTATTTTGAGTTTACATACATGAAATCAGTTTCAAACAAAACGAATTTAATTTTTTTAAATAAAAAAAATCAGTTTCAAACTGATTTTA